GTCGTCATTCATGGACAGATCCCTGTTGATTGTATCGTGGATCCTGTCAACGAAATCATGCTGAAGAGTGCTCTTGCTTTTCATTGCATTAGCCGTTATTTTTTAAAAATATTTTATTTAGAGATATATTTTAATAACTTTTTAAATTTATTTTTAATATCAATATATTAAAATATTTTAAAAAATAAAATATAATTTTTTACACAAACACTCTCCAACCACAAACACAGACTTAGAAATTCCTCACGTCCTTGCTTCTCCAGAAATTTGATAACAAAGTTCTGTGAAAATCATCTGATTTTTCTATCACATAAGTTTAGATTTGAAAATTTTTAAGCAACATTAAATCTATATATGATTTAAAATTTAATTAAAATCTAAAGTCGGTTTGTCTACCTGACCAACCGATATTTCAAATTGTATGTATAATTTTTATATTTTTAAAACAAAATAACTCAAATATAAGTATTATAATTTTTTTCTTTCAAAAGCAAACTGAATTTATTTTAATCTTAAAAATATATCTAATTATGGATTTTTTTTGGATTATAATGAATTACATGTTATCTTGTTATATACTCTATGATGTAAAATATATAAACAAGTTAAGGATCTCTTTAGGACGCTTGAATAAAAATAAATACAATTATAAAAATTACACTAAATCAATATGATACTTCAAATTTAAATAATAGTTGTTTTTCTTGTTATTCTAGCTATAAAAATCTTATAATAAGTTGTTGTTGTTTATAATCGATTTTATTCAAATTAATGGCATAATAATAAATTTATTCACCGTATTTTATATATCATGGAACAATTTCATTGATTTACTTCATAGGGAAATACGTAAAACACAATGTAACACGTCGTGCCATAACAAGATCAATCAACTATTACCAAGCAGTCTGTAGCTCAGTGGCGTAAGGCGCTGCTCGCCTTCTTTCGAACTTCGGTTCGAGTCCCAGTGGGAGTGGGGCTGGCGAGTGGTGTCCTTCCTGGTTCTGCTGGCTCCTTGTTGTGTGGTACGCCTGTCACCCCCGCGGTGCCTAACCTGTTCACTGAGGCTTACAGGATGTCCAGTGGACCGTGGGATTAGTCGTGGTGCGCGTAAGCTGGCCCGGACATCCACGTTAATCAAAAAAAAAAAATCAATCAACTATTATAGTCTTGCACGATTTCTGAGCCATTAACTTATATATAATAAGGAGTTTTCAATGCCCTTTCTTTGCTCAACTAGTATAGATTTTCCCTCTTAGTTTTGATTACGATTATCACAATACCACTACAATGCTTCCTTTCCCTTTAAAGTTTCCTCTTCTTATTTTCATTTTTTTTATATTTCCCTTTTTTTTATCAAAAATAAAAAGCCTGGAATGAAAATGGAGAAATTGGATTAAAGTAGAATTAAAAATATATTTTAATTTTAATTTTTTGTTTAGAACATAAATTAAATTTTAAAATTTCAATCCCTTATTTTTATATGAAAATATAATAATAAAAAAATAATTTTATCAATAATAATGATAATAAAAATAATAATTTGATATTAGAGATGGAGGAGGAATAGAGGAGGAGGCTAATGATGACTGTACAATTATGTTCGTTTTCGTATTTAATTTTTTTATATAAATTTTTATTTTTATTTTAAATTGAATTTTCATGATTTTAAATCATTCTAATATACTAATATAAAAAATTTAAAAATAAACAAAAAATATATTTTTAATATATTTTTTAATAAAAAATATTTTAAAAAATAATTACCATTTCAATTCAAAATAATACCTGTTGCCATAAAAATAATATATTTTAAAAAATATTAGTTTCGCTGTCACGAGAGGAGAGGCGATGGTGAAAGAAAATTGACTAGGATTATGAACGAAAGGTGATATAATAAATTATTACCACGTGGAGATTCAGCGACAAGAGAAAAAGGCCAGACAGAAGAAATTACATTAGTTATTAACAATAACCGTAACTAAATGTATAAAAGTAAAAACTTAATATCCATAAATCATTTATAGATATTTTTTTAATTTAGATATCTTGATATTTTTTTTAAAGGTAAAACTAATTCTGTTTGGGTTTAAAGCTGCTTCTTCTAATAAATATATTTTCTAAAAATTAATTTGTATTTTTATTTTTTACAACAATATAACTGTCTTAATCACTAAACCAATATTTTATTGATATATTATTTATAAACATGATATGATAACCTATAATTATTTACATTTATTACCCATATAAATTTACATGCACAAATCTTTATATTTATTACCTAACCATTTTTACTAGGAGATGGGAATTTATTTTAACAAGCATAAAATATTTTGATTTGCTTATATTACTTGTAATTAATTTTATGAATTCTTTTATCATGTTTTTTTCATACGCTAAACTATAGATTTTAGTTTATAAAAAAAATAATATAAAAAATGGATATATGAAAATATCGTGAACTTCTAGAAGGAATGTTATATATGAACTTTTAATAAAAGTCTGTTTTATTTAATAAACTGTTGAAGAAACTTTATGGAATCTTGAAGTTTATTGGTATATATATTTTATTCTAGGAAGAAAAAAATTGTGTTTTTTAAGATAATATAAGAAATATTTTTATTTAAATATTTTAACTTAAAAAAGGATAAATTTTTTTAAATTTGAAATAATTTTTTAAATTTCATTATTTATAATATATATGGTCTAAATCTACATAAATTATTTGAAATAATTTTTAAAATTTTGTTATTTATAATATGCATCTAACGTATTTTTATATAAATTAATTTTTAATTTTTTTACATGAAATGTACAACCTTAAATATTTTTATTTTATTTTATTTTATTTTATTTAAATTAGCTCTTGTAATCCGGGATCTGACCTCTGGTCAACTTCGATACGAAGTTCCAAAAAACAACGCTACTAGTATTATATCAAGGGAAAGAATCCACGGTAACTAAGTGAGTGCCCCCTCACTGCATCCTCTCTCATGCTCTTACCGTACCAAATTTTCAAACTGCAATGGAGCCCACTCGCTAATTCATAAATCCTTCAACACGAAGGAAGGCAAGTCTACTATTTCGTGAGTTAATTTATTTATTTATTTGTTAAATTATATAAAATTGAAAAATAAATATTCAAAACAAAATATATATAGCAATCAAAAGTTTGAGGATCAAATTTGATATAATCAGCAAATAATATGATATTTCTAAATTTTCCACAACTTCTGAAAAAGTGTTTTCCGTCCAAATTTTTCAAGAAAATACTTTTCTGGAAATCATGCTAAATTTTTCTTTGACTAAAAAGTATTTTCCATTAACTAACTTTTATAGTAGCAAACAAATACAGGAAAATTTGAAAAGTGATTTCCTAAAAAGTGAATTCCAGAAAACAAACATAGTCTAAATTTATCAATACTAACACTTTTTTAAGAAGTATAGGGGAAGTAATGTAGCTTTCTCCACATTATATTTTTTTTGTCTTTCCTTTTTTTTTTCTTACATTTTTTTCATTTTTTTGGGCTTTACATTTTTTTTCTAATATTATCTTTTTTTTTATTCTTTTTAATTTTTTTAATTTTTTGTAAATTATCTTTGTTGATTTTTTTTTTTAATATTGAATTGGTTTAAAATTTAGTTTTGTAGTTTTTTTCTTTAAAACATTATGTATTACTATAATGTTTTTCTATATAATTTTTTTTTATGAATTTTTTTTTTTAAAACATTATGTATTACTACAAGTTTGGGTTATTGGAGGTTGTTTTCTCATGAGTTTTTCTTTTTTCTGGTTTCTAAGGTTTTTTTTCCTTTTTTGGAGCTGTGACCATAGAGAAAAAAATGGTGTTTATAAATGCACCGTAAATACGATTCATAATCATGATTTTGTTATAAAACCACTATTCTGAATCACGGTTATTAAAATTAGGAATAATGGCTACATTAAAACTACAATTCTAAATTATGATTTTTATTTGAATCATTATTCTAAATAGTAGTTCTTCAACAATCACAATTCTCGACAGTAATTCTTTACAAACTATGTTATTTTTTCAAAACTTTTTAAATCATGTTTTTAAAATTATTTTTTCTTACATACTAGTATATTAGCTCGCACTTAACAACGAGTTAATATTATTATTTTTTAAATGTAAAAATTATTAAAAGTATAAAAAATATTTTAAGTCTCTTGAATCTGACGGTCATACCAAACCTAAGAGCTATAGGTCTGGGGACTATACCAAACTCGTGCTCTAGATCTAGCGACATCAGTAGACCAATGCCTGGGTTTCCAACCATGTCAAATCCATGCATCGTAGTGTGACACCAAACATGACTACTAGCCCGTGTCCTGACCTGACACTAAACATGATCACTAGATCCAAGACTCTTGGGCATGACATAGTTACCATACCCTAGCAAATAATAAACAAATAAATGATAATTGTGCATTTTAGTTATCAAGAGAGAGAGAAAAGAAAGCAAAAACTCAAACAATCAATCATTGACTACAATTCATTCATAATTTATCTACACTTGCTGCACCATGTGAAAGAGGCACATCTGCTCATCTATTGAGATGGTGCATGATCAAATTTAGCTACCAAGAAGCGTCTCGTATGCTTCTTTAATAATTTAAATATTATTTATTTACTAAAATATGTAAAACATGTGTTAGTAGCTTTTCAAATTAAAAATAAAAAATTAACTAAAAAATATTAATACACTCCATAATCCTTTTAATTATTTACCATATCTATATCAAATTTACTATTGAAATTCACAATAATTTATATTTAGAGTGAAAACCCAATCCGTTGAGTTTTTTTTTTATATAATTTATTTGACTATTATTTCTTCCACCGGCCACATAAGAGTTAGAGGCTAAATTGAAAATACTTGCAAATATCAGGTTAAATTTCAGGGAAATCTGGAACTACAGTGATGAAGAAGTTACTGAATTAAGAGACCGAAACACGAGGTTAGACTTCAGAGTTAGGGGGGGGAGAGAGAGAGGTGGGAAGAGAGAGATGTCGCTGCTGCTTGCGCAACTATTAGAACCTGCTGCGAAGCTATACAATGGTTACTACCCTATGTAAACTTCGCTTAAAATAATTTTATTATAATTTTTTTCTGAAAAAATGGAATATCCACTGGTTTTCCTTTTTAAAAATAAATCATCACGATGAAGACAAGGAATTCCTTTTGAAGCCTAATAAGAGCTAATAGTGACTTCTCAAAACAATCACCCTGTCGTTTCCTCTCTCTCAAACTCCTTTGTTCAAAATTGGGTTTCAATTCAAAAACTTCGAATTTTTTGGTCAAATTCTGCCATTTTGAGCGCAGAGAGAGAGCTGAATTCAGTTTGTCTCGTTTTTTCTTTATTTATTTGATTTGATTTGGTTTGTTTTTTGATTTGTTATTGTATTTTCGATGATTGATTTGCTTGATAAGTGTAAACATGGCTGTGGTGAGTCGTGCCTGTTACGATAACGCAACAAGCGAGTCCATTGACGTTTGTGGAATTAGAGTGGCAGGAAACATGGAAAGTGGTAGCGAGATTGTGGAAGAACCGGTTGCAAGAGTAATTGAAGATAAGATCTTTGTAGCTGTGGGAAAATCCGTGAAGGAATGTAAATCGATGCTTCTTTGGGCTATGCAGAATTCAGGAGGCAAAAGAATTTGCATCATTCATGTTCACCAACCGTCGCAAATGATTCCGTTAAGTAAGTTCACAAAAATGAAAGAAAACGAATTTGGTATATTATTTTATTTTTTGTTATTATGATTCATCTCTTTTTTTTAATGCAAATTATAGATAAATTTTGCTATTTCAAGGATTTTGGTTGTTTAAAGAAGGATGGGTTTGGATTTTATTTTATTTTTTGATTTTTGCCTTTGTTATTGGTTAATGGTTGTGGTTTTGGGATTGTAGTGGGTACCAAATTCCGGGCCAGTGCACTAAAAGAACAGGAAGTGAGGGCATACTGGGAAGTTGAAAGGCAAGAGATGCATAAGATGCTAGATGAATACCTTTTAATCTGTCGAAAAATGGGGGTAAATTTCTTTTTATGTTTCTTTTTCTGCACATGTTATGTTATTGGATTGTTTTTAAAGCACGGTTCTGAACTGTGGAAATCTTGCATTCTAGAGAAGAAGAAGAAGAGTTTTGAAGAGTATTATAGAATAAACTTGAAATATTTTAGTTCATGCTCTCTTCCGGTGAAAAACTAAGGAACTTCTGGCAAATCTAATTTGGAATATTGAGTTGGCATGATTTCTTTTTCAAATATTTTCGCATTCATAAGTTTTTCTTTTTATATTTATTTTTTCAGGTTCGGGCTGAGAAGCTGTATGTTGAAATGGAGTCTATTGAGAAGGGAATTTTAGAACTCATTTCTCTGCATGGGATCAGGAAGCTTGTTATGGGAGCAGCAGCAGACAACCGCTATTCAAAGTAAAGCCCCTAGGAACCCTTAGAAACTACTCTGCATATGTGGGGTCTAAATATGGAACTCCTAAAGAGAGTAACTATATGTTCTGGATATGTAAATGGATTGCTTATCTTGATGCTTAATTGTTGCAGGAAGATGATGGACATCAAGTCTAAGAAGGCCATCTCTGTTTGCCGGCTAGCACCTGCTTCCTGTCACATATGGTTTATTTGCAAGGGGAACCTTATCCACACACGGTATTGTTGAAATGCTTGTTATCTTGGTTCTTAAGTAATTTGTTTCGTATCTAGTAATTGGGATTTGAAAATGGAATAAAATAATTTTCAATGGAGAGGTTTCTATTTAGTGAAAAATAACGGAGAACCTTCTTAAATTTCTTCTTGGCTACGATTTCTATTTTTTTTGGGAATCCTCTAACAGCTGAAGCATCCTTGTAAAATGCTGTAGTATTGAACAGTTTTTTGGTTGTGATGATCTATGGCCATAATTGACGTTCTTGTCAAAAACAGGGAAGGTGCTATGGATGGAACTGGTACGGATGTTGGATCTTCATCACAGCAAACAAGTCCAAATACTGAAGCTGGACAATTAAGTCATATGAGATCACAGTCTATTGCCCTTGGCCAGAACCATTTTGTGAAACTCACCAATCCAGCTCAAGATTTAGTCCGAAGGGTAAGATCTATGAATGTTAATGGACATGGAGGAAGATTATCAACTCCTGCTTCACCAGATGGGGGGCCATCAACTCCATCAAGCAGGTCAGATGCAGATGGTAGTTCTGATGAATATGATGTGTTGTCAAGGAGGAGTGCTTCCCAAAATTCAGCTCTCTCGTCGTGCTCTTCCCATGGAATGGTCAATGTTGCTTTGGTTCCATTTGTAGAAACTGAAGAGAGTGAGACTGGTTCAGAGTTGTGCACACTGCCTCAGCACAAGGAGGATCTTTGTCAGTCATCCCCTCCCAGTGTACTGGTACTTGCAATCATTTTATGATAATGCACATTTAAAATCATGCAACCTGTCCATGTTCCAAGTGTAGCTAGTTACCTAAGTTAATGCAGTGTCTCAAAGAGTTCCTGTGTATTTTTAGCTTTTATTTTTTTGAGTACTTAGAAATTTGGTGGATTCTTGCAGGATGGTAGTACTGAGGATCCTCTGTATGATCAACTTGAAAAAGCAATGTCTGATGCTGAAAATTCAAGGCGTGAAGCATTTGAAGAGGCAGTCAGGCGTGCAAAAGCAGAAAAATACGCATTTGAGGCCATACGCAAGGTATAATTTATTCATAACCATCTTTTCCGTCCATTCTGTTAAAGGAAGATGATTGCATTTTAGATGTTAATTATCATGAAAAGGGATGGATTTTAATTCCTCTAATTTGAAAAAATTGTAGTAGAAAGGTTGATGCATTTTATGGTTTGTGCTGGATAGTCCAAAACCTTAGCCAATATTTAAATGATAAGCTGACCGGATAAACTGCACCATTTTATGATCCCATTTCCTCGTTGGTTTCTCTGTAATTAGTCATCATTCTGTTAGAAATCAAAGTTTTAAGCCTGTATTTTATGAAAACATAAATTTGACTTTATAAACTTAAACTAATACATGCTAATTGCTGATCATGATTCTTATTCACAGGCCAAAGCATCAGAAAACTTGTATACAGACGAGTCAAAACGAAGGAAAGAAGTTGAGGAAGAACTAGCAAAAGAAAAGGAAGAACTTGAAAGGATAAATAGAGAATGTGATGAAGTCACGGAAGAACTTCGCATTGCTGAGGATCAGAAATCATTTTTGGAGAAGCAAATCAAAGAATCTGATCAGATGGTAAAGGAGTTGGAGCAGAAAATCATCTCTGCCGTGGGACTTTTGCAAAATTACAAGAAAGAACAGGATGAACTACAGAAGGAGCGTGACAATGCACTGAAAGAAGTCGAGGAGCTGAGGAGAAGTCAAACAGAGGCCTCAGGCACACACATGTCTCAGTTCTTCTCTGAGTTCTCTTTCTCAGAAATTGAGGAGGCAACTCAACATTTTGATCCATCCCTTAAGATTGGGGAAGGGGGGTATGGTAGCATTTATAAAGGTGTGTTGCGCCAAACCCAGGTGGCTGTAAAGATGCTGCACTCTAATAGCTTGCAAGGTCCTGCAGAATTTCAACAGGAGGTAGCATTCTATGCTTGTTTTAATTTTTTTCAAATTGTTGATCTCTGTATGTCTTATAGCCACAGGGCATGTTGTGGTATTGATTTTCTATTGAGCTTGAATTTAAATGCTAATTACCAACAATATTACAGTTATGTAGTATGGTTTTCTGATGCTGGAGATATGGAATGGGATTTTATACAGCTCCTCATACTCTCTCTGTGCCTCCCCCATTCCAACCCAGCTGCTATGTTGTGCTGGGTCTTGCAATAGATTTAGATTGTATCTGGCATTGTGATCCTGCAAGACCGCATTGCAATTGTCATCAATACTAGCACCCCAACGCAATTGCGGCATGTGTTGACAGCTGTCCTGCTGTGTCAGCAATTGCTATGCTATTTAGTATCTTATCAACAGGCATGCTAGTGCAACTGATACTAGATAAATGACTGGTCACTTGATTCAGTTTGTTTTTGCCATGTAGCTCACTTCAGTCAATATTAGTAGGACCATCTGCTGGTGTGAAGTTATATATAGTTGAAATTCTATAAGAGTTGGGAGTTACCAGATAAATGAACTGAAAATCAAGGATTTTTGTTATACTTCACACATCTCTTTATAATTATCTGCTAAGTTTCTACAGCTGCACTTTTAGTTATGACTTTCTGCGCTGCCTGACATCTGTTGGTTTTATACCAGGTCGATGTTTTGAGCAAGATGAGACATCCAAATCTTATCACTCTCATTGGAGCATGTCCAGAAGCTTGGACTCTTATCTATGAGTATCTTCCCAATGGAAGCCTTGAAGACCGACTGAGCTGCAGGGACAACAGTCCACCTTTATCTTGGCAAACTCGAATACGCATTGCCGCTGAATTATGCTCGGTTCTCATCTTTCTTCACTCTAGTAAACAACAGAGCATTGTGCACGGTGACCTTAAGCCTGCTAACATCCTCCTTGATGAAAATTTTGTCACTAAACTAAGTGACTTTGGAATCTGTCGTCTACTTCATCACAAGGAAGGTTCTAGCAACAACACAGCAATATGCAGAACTGACCCCAAAGGCACCTTTTCATATATGGATCCTGAATTTCTCTCCACTGGAGAGCTAACTCCAAAGTCGGATGTTTATTCATTTGGAGTTATATTGTTAAGATTGTTAACTGCAAGACAGCCCTTGGGTATTACAAAGGAGGTGCAATGTGCATTAGATAAAGGAAACTTGAAAACCCTCTTGGATCCTTTGGCAGGAGATTGGCCATTTGTGCAAGCTGAACAGTTGGCTCACTTGGCACTGAGGTGCTGTGAGATGAGCAGAAAGAACCGGCCAGATCTTTTATCAGAGGTATGGAGGGTACTTGAGCCAATGAAGACTTCGTGTGGAGGCTCATCATTTTTCCAGCTTGGTTCGGAAGAGCATTTCCAACCTCCTTCATATTTTATATGTCCCATTTTCCAGGTAAGTTCATCTATTTCTCCTACTTTTCAAGTCTTAAGAGTGATTTATCTACAGCAACTGGAATTATGCTATTTGTCATTTATATTAGGACTTCTTAAGCATTCCAGTCCACCTTTTGTTTTCTATAATACAATAATTAGACACGGCTTCCTCCTACAAAATATTCTAGCCTTGTATTCTTCCATGATTTGCTTCTCGGTTTCCCTTACTGCATCAGCTTGCAAAAGGAAATTCAACATTAAGTTTGTGATTATTTTATACTCCATCATAGAGTAATATTTCTGGTTTTAATAGCTCCTATTTCTGTGCATGCATGTCTATTATAGGCCAACTGTGAAGTCTAGTTTCATCTGTAGACCTATGTGTTGTGAACCTTTTTCCCTGGCTTGCATTGCCGATGCAGCAAATTGATGATTTACTCAAACATGCAGGAAGTAATGCGAGATCCACATGTAGCAGCTGATGGTTATACTTATGAAGCAGAGGCCTTGAAAGGATGGCTGGACAGTGGACATGATACTTCACCCATGACCAACCTTAAGCTCGCACATCGCGATCTTATCCCTAACCATGCACTTCGCTCAGCAATTCAGGAGTGGCTGCAACAGCTGTGAACAATTTCGTAGTTCAATACATTGTTTATAGTCGTTTCTTGAAAAGGAAAAGAAGTTTCATTACATTTTTTTTTTTAATCTTTCTTTCCAATCTTGCTTTGTTTGACAGAGGCATGATACGGTCCTCCTGTTGTATAGAAGACAATTGAAGGCATACTTTACATCCTGGTCTATGAAATGAAAACAGGACAGATAATTATATAATTATTTACACGATATGAATCAGAATCAACCTTGTGTCTCGATCTTTTTTCATTGCGTTTTTATTTTTGTCATTTTATTTATTTATTTTGCTAGAGGTTATAGTTTTAAAAACCGGTCTGATCTTGCAGGTCGATCCAGAACTAAATAACCAAGTTTGTACAGGGGTGGCGTATGGGTTTTTGCATACCTTTATTGGTCAGTAGCAGCATCAAACGCCAACCTTCTAGTTTTTTAGGGGCATCCAGTAATAAGTGTGCTAATATTTGTAATAAGTGTGCTAGTATTTGTTTTATTGGCTTTAATTGCAAGGACATGCAAGAGAAGTCCAATCTTTTTTCAAGTCCTTGAAGAAATCAATAATTAAAAAGCCAACAACATAGGTCAACCTTGTCAAGTCCTTAACTGCGAAGAAATCAATAATTAAAAAGCCAGCAAGGTTGGTCACTTCTTTTAGCAGTTTGTCTTCGACATATGTAAGTTGTAAAGTTTTGGAATTTATGCCTTTTGACTTTTCCAGCACTTAGTTTCCTTCTCCTATAAGTTGCTATAAGAGAATCTCCCATTCAAAATGCTATTTTAAAAAGCTAAAATAATAAAATAATATTTTAAATGGTATAAATATAGCTTATTTTATTATATCTATTCTAATGGAAAAAAGCCATTTCAAGAGCCATTTATATTAGAGTAAAAAAAAACAAGTATTTTTTTTTTTTTAATATGTTTAATGTTATTTTTTTTCACATGTCTAAATTTAATTGGTCTATTTTTTTAGTGGTTCCACTTTTTTGGGTTAACTCTTTGAAGAGATATGTAGAAATAGGATTTGTGGGAGAGAAGAGGCATTGTAACATTTTGTTTGGCTTCTCCCTTGGAGTATGCAAAACAAGAAAAGAAAAACCAAAATATTAATTTTTTATTTTTAGCTATCCATTTGCCTTCTCCATTGGAGATGCTCTAAGCATGCACCTATATGCTTTTTTATTATTAATTAAATGAATATAATATGATAATTTGTCTGATTTGGTTTAATATAGGTTTTTAAAATGTTTTATTGTTATGGTAGTATTTTAAGTAGTGATTCTTCAACTGTTAATTATCTTAACCTTTAATTTTTATATCAAGTGGTAACAAAGAAATAACAGATTTGGTATGAAATCATTGTAAAAAAGCTCCTGAACTTAGTGTTGGATGTAAAAATATTAAATTAATATATTTATATTGTGCTAAAATTTTTGTGGGTGGTGACATTAATCGATTTAAGTAACATTTAGCTAAAGCTAAAGGAGAAGTTGAACAATATCTCAAATGTTCTCTTGATGTTAAACATCAAATGCTTTTAAATCTTAAAGGAAATGTTGGAAAAAAAAGAGTTAGAGAAATGCAAGCATATTTCAATCCATTTAATGAACAACAAATGGAGCATAAAGAGATGATGATTAGGCAATTGGAATATTTTTTTTGCCGGCTCGACCACCAGGTCGGTCTTAAAAACTATGCTAGGGGGAAGTGATGGACGAATTGCTATATTGAACTCATTGACAATTTGTTAAGGAATACTCTCAGGTTCTTCATTTTTCTTTCAATTAAATGACAAGAACTCCAACATTTCTTAATTTGAGATATTTTCCATACGGTTAATATAATTTTACTCTTAATAGTTCAAAGTTGCCTTGATCTTCCTACTGCGTAAATAACTGAGGTCTTACTTGCAACTTTTATAAGCCACGTATAGATTTTGTTCCTTACAAAAATGTAACATGTTGAAGACTAGTAATTAATTGAGCGGTAGCTAATTCCTCCTGCTGGTTTCAAGTTCCTGCAATTTCGGAGTCAGTCGGTTGGTTAGGTTCTAATGATGGCCTATTATAAGTTTTGCTTGTTAATTATCCTTTTATTTGTGTGATGCCGTTGTTATATAAACACAAACTGAATAACATCTTTCAAATGATCCCTCAAATCATTCTCAATTTTTGCAATGATGTCCTAAAATCTAAAGTATTTTGGAATAAGGTTTATGTAATTGGATAATAGGTTTATAATTTAGTTCTAGTAATGTTAATTGTTTTTTCTAACCAAGATGTTTGGTAGTTTGATGTGGAAAGCCCATGTAGTTGGTGCCTAGTAAGCCATAATGACTTGTAATTAGTGCTTGCAAAATATTATTTTTGATAAACGCGAGAACTCTCGGATGCTTAAATCAATAATATTATAAAGAGAAAAAAGTGTATTGATATTTTAAAAAGATAAACTCTGAAAATATATATGCTAAAAATCTTAAAAATGAACAAATTATGAACCTTGAACTTGGTGGATTCATAAGGTATTTATAAGCCTATAAGTCTTTTTTTTTAATTATAGAAAGAAGGGGTCGAAGAGTCATTTCACTCCTATAAATTAATATGGTATTTTGAGTTTTATTTTACTCAAAATAATACATATTGAATTAATATAAAATATCATAAGACTCGTATAGAGTCTTGAAAAATTATCGAGAGACTTGCGTAGGTCTTGGAAAAACTCCTAAGGGAGTGTTAGGCTCAGGCGAGTTGCCTAAGCCTGTTAGGGTAAAAAATAAGCCTAGAAGCGCTACCTGGGCCTAATGTTTTTAGGTCGAGGCACTGTCTGGACCAATTATTGTTGGGCTCAAATGTTGTCTAGGCCTAGTGTTATTGTGCTTAGGAATAACTTGGACCCATTATTGTTAGGCCTAACCCGTTGTGCTCAGCCAGAGGTTTGAGCCTAGTGTTGTAGGTTCAACTTAGAGGTTGAGCCCATGGGTATTTAGACTCAGGCACGTTGCCTGGACTTGTGTCTTTTAATATTTGGGCCTATGAGGTTTTTTTAGACTCATTAAATTTTAGTTTATTAGTATCCCCAAAGTTTTTGTAACATTTATATGCAAAGACTTGTAAAGTAGCCTGGTACGACAAGTTTGTTGTATTCTCTTCATATGAGAAGAGGGGTGAAAACTCTATACTAATTTACTAGAGAGCCCGTGTGTAGGGGTGTGTATCATGTTTGAAGAAATTTCTAGGGAACCATTAAGGAACCTATATTTAGAAAAATTTTCTATGAGGCAAGAGAAATCCTATAAAAGAAGAGCTCGTATTTAAAAAAATTTCTAAAAGGTCAAGAAAACTTAAGGAAGGTAAGCTTATACTTAAAATATTCTAAAAGACTAAGGGTAATCCATTGAGGGTTATTTCTTGCGATAAAGTGAGGTTTGGAAGCCCTATACCGATTCAAGATTGTATTGAAGAGAGGGAGGCTCCTAGCCTTCTAATTAATGGTGAAGAGCTTGAAAACCCCTATCAAAGAGAGATTACATTATGGTGAGAGGTTTATGGTTTCCTTGATAAGGATGTGGCTTAGGAGCTCACTACTATAGAAAGGTCTCACTGAAGAATGAGAGGCTTGTAGCTTCCATGCTGATAGCGTCAGAGCTTGGGATTCCCCCATTAGAGAGTGATTACATTAGAGTGGTTGAGGTATGTAACCTTCTTAACGATGGCCTGGGGCGTGAGAGCCCCCTCATGAAGAGTAGTCGTATTGGAGTGTAGGAGGTATATGACCCCATTAGTGAAATCATAAGGTGTGAAATCCCTCTCACTAAAGAGTGGGCGCATTAAAGTGTGAAAGGTACGTGACCTCTCTAATATTGTTATGTGGTGTGGAAGTCCTCTAATGAAGAATGGTCTTACCTAAGAGTAGGAGATTAAAGATTATCCCTGGAGATAATATGAGGCTTGAGAGCCCTATTAGCAAATCATGCTAATCTGAGACCATACAAAAGAGGAGATATTTTAGATCAATCCATAGAGATTTTATGAGGCCTAGGAACCCTACTAGAGAGTCGTTCTAGTCCAAGATTGCATTTTAAAGGTTGGAGATTTGATACCAATCTTAGGGGATTTTGTGAGGCTTGGGAGCCCTATTGGAAGGTTATGCCATTCCAAGATTATATTAGAGAGGCGAAAGATCCGAGATCAATTCATGATGATTTCATGAGGTCTAAGAGCCCTCCTAGAGATTTGTAGATATTATGTTAGAGAAAATATCTTTATTTCAAAAATAAACTTATTCCCATCAAGGATAATGTATCTTAAGGTGATTTGAGTGCCAAATATGAGGAGATTCTTGGGAGGAACATATCTTAGAGATGGTAGGTGACGTCTTGACTTCTCTAATAATTTTGAACGGTTGATCCCGTTTTGATTCAAGGGAGTAGTAAATCCTTAGGATACACCATGCACTCATGAGTTAGTCCTTGATGGTTCTTCCTCGAGCTTTCATTTTCTACTAGGAGAATGATTTTTCTTGGAAGGTCTTTCATTTTGGTTTTCCTTGTAAAAACAAGGAGGTCTATGTCATAACACATTAGCATCTTCTACATATATATAATTTTTCATGACTTTCTTCACCTTTTTTGGTACAACATAAAGTTTTCTCTAGAGCGCATGTTCTCTTACCTCTTTTATCAAGGCCTTTAAGGCTATTGGCTTAAGTAACTCTACCACTTTAAGTATCTCCTCATTGAATCTCTTAAAATATATATGTGTAGACTCACTCTCTTATTGGGTTATACCAAATAGCTTCGTGAAGCTTTTCTTGGCAAGCATGCTAGTGTTGAAGCATATCACTAGCTTGACGCAAAGGTCACTGAACCTTTTGATGGAGTCTGGTTCCAAATTATTATACCTAGCATGCATAGAGCCTCGAAATGTTATAGGGAGGATTTTGTACATCGAGTTATTTTTTATGATCAAATCTAAGTTATTATGCACATTTCACACATTCTCTCTCAGGCCAGCAATGCCATTATAATTGTCTAGACTTATTTTTATGGAAATGTAATTCATAGAGAGTTGAGTGTTCAATACGTATTTGGACAAGAAAGAACCCTTCACCTGATAAGGGCTGTAGATATTCTATTGGGTATTCTTAAATATATATTGTCTCTTAGTCTTTTGTATGCTAGACTCCAAGGAGCCCGTGGATTTTAGCATGGAACGACATGATTGTTAATTGATATTCATCCCATGATTGTT